CAGGTAGTCCTCACTTAGCAACAACAATTGGGACCAGCAACTCACTCGCTAAGTGCCATGGTCACTAAGCAGAAAATCACATCACCATGACTGGCTTACAACCTTACTTCTCGTTCAGATGGTAAGCAAAGCACCACGGTTGCAAAGGGAAAAATCATGTGACTGTGACTTATGATTTTATTTCCACCTTCTCTATTAACTCTGCTTGTCCAAAGCCAATTGCAAAGTGCCCGAATGGTGATCATGTGACTGCAGGACACTGTGACGGTTGTAAATGCAAGGACTGGTTGCAAAGCTTTTTTTTACACTGTCGTAACCTCAAACAGTAGCTAAACAAGGCAGTCAGTAAGTGAGGACTACCTATATCAGCCTGAAGAATGTAATGTGACCATATGTTTATAATAAAGTTTCATATTTTAAAAAACAGATTAAAAAATGGGCTAAGCAAGGTACCTCCAGCAGAGTGAATGGAAGACTAATGAAATTAGTTGAGTTGAAACTGAAATGAGGGAATGCTAGAAAAAATATTTTAGAAATTTCAATAGGAATTACAGTGGCATGTCAAGGAGTAGATGTGAGAGGTTGTAAGGAGACTGGGAAAGGAAAAGGAAAAGGAAAAGGAAGAGAGAGTAGACAGAAATGATCAAATGACAATGGGGAAGTCATTTGGCAGTTTAGCTCATAACCAGCAACTTGGCCCAGATGGAAAGAAACCTGGGAAGAAGCATTTCAAATAATTCAGAGATACCGCCTTGCCAATGAACGTGAAAATTTCCTCTTACAGTTTCCAAGGTTCTATATTTACCCCAGACTTGCACTAAAGATAACTTAGTGTATTCTGTGTAGTTCTTCCTTCCTTGATTTTGCCCAGCTAGGTGTTGCTTGACAGTAGAACCGAAACAAATGCTGTACACATGTTAGAGTCCAAGAAGAAATTGAAGTCATTCATGCTATGAGGATGTTGAAAAATAGTAAGGCTGCAGGTATACATGATGTAGGATGGATGTGTAGCATGGTTAGGTGATTTGTCTAAGATTGCTGCAAAGATTACATTTGTACATCTCTGCTTGAGAGTTGGTAGAATGCTGCATTGTTTCCTGATAAAAAGGGAAAAGTAACAAGAATCAATGCAAAAGCAACAGTGGAATTGGTCTGTTAAACATCCCTGTTTGGCAGAATTCTGATTAAATGTACATGAGGTGTAGTGTGGCTTGAATCCAGGCAAAGGGCATGCAGAACAGATTTGCTCTTCAGCAAGTCACTGAGAAATGTATGAATGTAGGAAAGGAAGTTTACTGTACATTTGTTGATTTAGAGAAAGTGTATAACTGAGTTAACACACTCGAATTATGAAATGCTTTGCACAAATACAGAATTGAAGGTCGGCTGCTGAATGTAAGAATGGTATATGTTAGAAATAAATCTTACATGAAAACAAATCTTTAGGAAATGATTCAACACTGAGCAGAGAGTAAGACAGGGATGTATGGTGTCCATGTGTCTGTTTAACACATATAAGGGAATGCTTAGGGTGATGTTGAAGTGTGTTGATGGGGGATGTAAATATACTTTTCTATGCAGATGATGTTTTGTGATTGACAGACTGAATGATCTGCAGTGAATATTAGATAGATTGTATGATGTATCAAGGAATACAGATCTGAAAATTAATGTATTAAAATGCAAGGTATGTTTAACAGGGAAAATGAACAATTTAAGTTATACATAATAGTGAAAAACTAGAGCAAGCAGATGAATTTCCCATAAGGATGGGAAAATGGATGGAGAAATGTTAAGTTGTGAAAATGCTGGGAGAAAGATAGTGGGTAGTATGTGGACTGTTGTAAGGAATGAACATTGGACAAAAGCAAAAATGGCTGTTTATAAGACCATGCTTCTGTCCACGTTGCTATCTGAAAGTAATAGCTGAGTATGTCAGGTAAGATGTAAACGTAAACTGAATGCAATAGGAATAGGGCATTCATGGGCATCCATGGGGGTGGGGCAGGGGGAATAAAAAAAAACAACACAAGATGGCAGCCACAACTACCCAATGAAAGGCCTACCTCTTTTTACATGCACACAATGCATTATATATGTGTAAAAATGAGTGGGTTTCAATCCCATGGTTGCAGCTGCCATCTTGACTCCCCCCCCCACCAGGCATCCCTGGGGATGCTTAGGAAGTTTGCATGGTAAAACAAGGAGAGAAGGGATCAAGAATAAAAGAAAGACATGGAAAGAAGTATGAAAGAAGTATTTTAAAGTGGTATGGTCATACACAAGACAATGAGGATCAGATTGTAAAACATCTATATGAAGGAAGACTAACTGGGACAGAGGATCAAGAAAGTTGTAGCTGGATGATGATGATGATGATGATGAGGAGGAGGAGGAGGAGGAGGAGGAGGAGATTCTGAAAAAAGAGAAAGATGTAAAAAGACAGCGTATGAAACAGAGTACAGATGTGGAGGAAGCAGGGATGGTTTGCAAGAATAGAAATATATGATGAAGTATAGTGAATTGTCATGTATAATCATTCTATCTGACTCAATGTCTTATCTCAGGCCTTTATTTTTCTGGCTTAGTATTTCTTACTCTTTTCTGTACTCTGTGCAAAGTTGCTTAGCCTGAAAGGAAACAGCACAATCAGCTTATATGTATCAGTGTCACCTCACATTTAAGTCATACTGGATAAATTTAGAGTACACATGATTAAACTGCTACTTCAGTATTCATCCCTAGAACAATAGCTAAGTTACCCCTTACAAAAATCCTTTAAATTTTGACTCATGATTGTTTTTAAAAAGAAGACTTTCAATACTGATGCTGAACATATACGAAGTCTATTTTCAACTATATTTGTACTAATTTGATATGTTACAAGATTTGATATAGTGAATGGAATAAATTCAAATGTATTTATCATATCTGAATTTGGGAGAAGTATATCTTGCCCCCAACCTTTTTCCGAGCAAAAAAGGATTTTTTTCCTGCACTTAATATAATTTAAAAAGTTTTACTTGGAATTGCATTTTTCTCTTTACAATACATATGATAAAACACAAACCTAGTTTTATTGTTCCCTATTTTTTTCTGTATCAGCAATGGAATGTACACATAATTTTTGAAACAGAAAAAAAAAACGACTAAGGTTGAGCATCAATCACAAGGAAATGCTGGAATCATAATAAAAATGGTACCAATGCTTCAACACTTCTTGTTGAAAAAGGTAAGTAAAAGAAAGCAACAGACCAACAATTCATTCAGACAATAACATTATTGGTTTTCTCGTGACTCATGACAATTATCAAGGTCCATCATCACTTCCATTCTACTTATGGTTAGAGTAACTGAAGATGACATATAACGACTCACTTAAGGAAAATTGGATTTTGAGCCAGAAGGAAATCATCTGATCACAAACTATTCTTGGGATACCAGGTAATGACTCAGAAAGGAAGAAGCGAGAGGTACAAAAAGTGTGAAGAAACCTCTAGCTTGGGTTTTACATATGATGGAATATGCAGGCAACACTTTCACGCTTTATAAATGGCTCTCAAAAATAACTTTTGAAGAATCAGGATCCCATTTAAAACTACCTGCCAATACTGAAGGTGAAATAGCACATTTTACATCAGTAATGGTATATGCAAATTTAACTGACACACTTCCACATACCTGTGTTGTGAAGATCAAAGTCTGATAGTGAATACCCATAATTCTGTTCTTTAAATAAGGCAGGACCTCTCACAAATATACCTGATTATAATCTCATTGACAGAAACCCCTCTAACTTCCCCTTCAAATAAACTGATAAACCTAGAGGTTCACGTCCTTTTGCCACAAACAAATATGTAGCTTTCAATTATTTCCCTCAATAATTAAATGAACAAGTATAATGCTTGTGACTAATTTGTTTAACTGGATTCTCTTTATCTAGCTTTAGGGCTTGTGTAGAGAACAGATCACATTTTAGGTCATATTTATGCAGACATATTGAAAAGGGTTCACAAATTTTTAAGCACCATTGAACAAAGATTGCACCTGATTTATGATTTAATTATGACAGCTGATATTCTGCTGTGTGGCATTGCTTTTTCCCAAGGAAGTATGGGGAAAGTAGATGCTACACCTATGTTTTTACATAACCACTGTAAATTAGTCAGGACATCCTGCATATGCTCATGGCTATTTCCTAAACAGAAGCCTAAAATACATGTATACTGTATCAAATTGATAAAGTAATTCAGCAGCAGTAATTCAATATATACTGCAAATACAGAACAGCTAATAAATGAACTGTAAGACTACAGATCTGATGAGAAAAAACAGAGAAGGGGAAACAACATAGAGCACTTCTTGAGTTATTACACAACACATGAGTATTCCCTTTGTTTTGAAATACTTCTCAGAAGAGGTTTTCATCTCTCTCTTCCTTAACAGGCAGCCCTATAACTTCAAATTCTCTTTTAAAAAGAATTTTATTTTATTTTTTCAATACATTATTGCTATTACTTAACTAGCTTATTCAAAGCATTTCTGTAACATATGGGATTCACAGCCCAATTCTCAAAGTATAACACCAATTAAGCTTTTCACATAGAGAATGTGCGCAGGTAAAAGAGCTTGAGGACAGGCACTACAGCTTCTCTGAAAAAACAGTGTACTGATATAACATTGTGTTGCACCATATGGTACTTCTGGTTTGTGAAAAGGCAGACTATTTTAATTTCCAACACACTAAGTCCTTTAATCTGAGCAAATTCAAATATCCAGGCAGAATTCAAATGTAATAAACAGAAGTATAAGAAAAGCCAAGAAGGTGAAAGCACACTTACTGAGATAGCCTCCCAGATGACTACCTCAAATTCTTCTAATTTAAATCTGCAGAGAAATTTTAGAGCAACTGAAGCCTCTGAGTCAACATCTTTATCAGACTCTCAGGCAAGCCTCAAAAATCATGCAATATATGCTCAGATGGCAGGCAAGTCACTTACCATCTAAGCGCAATCTTGATTGGTGTGGTAAGGCAGGATGTGAACAAGTCAGCTGGTAGGTCAGGGATCATTGGTAGCAACTCAGTAGCTTCACATGCTGCTAGTTGAATGCAGTTTTTCATTGAAGGAGGCAACGGCATCTGAGCAAGTGGATGGTTGGGATTAATTGCAGCCACCTTCACAGGAGATAGAAAAGCCAGCAGTTAAATCTCCCTAATGATTAGCTAGCAATATCTAGAAAATAATAAAATACATAATTTACGAGAAGTCAGTGATTTGAGAAACCTGTTCATCAACAATACGGATACACATTCATACTTATGAATAAATTGTTCGACATTATATGCTCATCCAGAATGTTCTCGAATTCCTTTATTATTATCATCTGTTTTTAGCCTGTTTTGATTTAAAATAATCACAATGTATCTTTCAGTATTGTATAATCACTGTACATTAATTATTGCCTGAACATTATTAGAAAAGAATTATATTATTTGCAAGTGTTTAGCAAAGGACAATACTGGAACTCAAAAGTTCAGCATCTATATCTAAGCAATAGCATCTCTCTTTAAAATACGTTATTCACTTTCCTCAGGATTTCTAATTTTGAAATTCTGACTGCAAGAAGCAGCATTTACTACAACTCACAGAGATTTGAATACTGCCTGCAAATCCCAACTATAGAGACCAGAGATTCTAACTGGCTAGAGAAGTTATGGATTTATTCATATTTATAGGATTTATTATAAATGGATGGATAGATGGATGGATGGATGGATGGGGAGGGAGGGAGGGAGGGAGGGAGGGAG